GAAAGACACGGATGCTCAGTTTGCAGTGAAGTGATTAATGTAGACAAACAACGGCTTTAAACATGCTTGAATAAGACTTTCAGGCATGGCAGCTTCCAAATTGTGCTCTCCCTCCCCAGAAGGGTTTGTGTGGGGCTACTTCCACTGGTGTCAATTTCAGAGGGCAGAAACCCTTTGCCTGTGAGCGAGATGCTCTCCCAGTTTAACCAGTGCTGGCAGCCCTGTGCTCCATTTACTCCCCAGAGAGGCTGATGGCTGCTTGTGAGCGCTCCCTTCCTCAGAGCTGGTTTTAAACAAGCACTTTATGAGATGGTGGATTACAGCTGGGGGCGTCTGTATCTAGGAGTTCATGTAAAGCTTGGCATGTTGCACATCAGCACTACAAATACTCAGGAACTGAGAATACTCAGAAACACCTGCTTAGGTAAAAATGAGGCCAATGTCCACTTCAGGTCCCTCCAGCTGGTTTAAAACCTGCTGCAGCTCTGTGTTAGCTCTCAGACCCCCAGCTGTGGTGAAAGGGCAGCATTTCCACAACCATTTCCCAAGTTTTCCTTACCGTAACAACTCTCTTCTTGATTTCTGGGACACATTGGGCTCTCTCATACAGGTTCTGATCAGAGTCAATCCAGACTAGATTTTTTATGCCATCATTAGAGACAAGGTCTGTTGTATTTAACTGGAACACCATGAACTGGAAGAGCTGTCCATCTGTGCCAATGCTTTGCACCACTATTGGCTGCTCCAAAACCTTGGGATCATTCTAGGAAAAGAAGGGGCATGTGGGGAGAATGTTTCAAGAGCTAGTTACAACAGAAATTGTCTGAGTACTTGCTGATTCTGCACCTTTGGGCTGGTTTAAAGCCAAGACTTTAATAAATATATTGTTACCTTGCCCAGAAAATTACTCTAGTCAAACTAGTTTTGAATGCAGATTTTGTATTTTAATTAAAATTCCTCCTTCAGCCAGCAATGAAGTGTCAATTTACATACTGAGCTGTGAGATGGGTTAGAGTTTTACAGCTGAACTTACTCCCTAGTTCCTGCCCATACCACCCTGCTGCATCACAAACACGCTCCTTACTGAGCAGCAGATTTCTGGATTTTTGAAGGTTGGATTTTCACCTCCGGACTGGGAAGCCTGGATGTGAAAATTACTGTGAGGAGCTTTCAGACCTCCCTGCACTGGCTGCAGCAGTAGGGGAAGAAGAGAGGCCCAGCAGCAGCCTCCCATACGTACCCCGTGGAGCACCCTGGCCTTGGCCAGCGCGTTGCCAAAAGCAAACATCAGCATTTTAGCACGGAGCTGTTCTGGTCTGAACCTGTCAGTGCGAACGTTGGCAGACTCCAAGAAGAACAGGGTGTGAGGATGAGAGTAGGGATAACCATCTCTGAAACCTAAAGGGCACATACTCATGTCAGAAACCACTCAGGAAGACACTATGCAGCCAAGGTTTTCTCCCATTATCTTCAGGAACTGTTCTTCTCCTCAGTCCTGCTTAGGCAACAAAATACCACAGGTCTGGAGCACCTGCACTGCAAATCTGTGCCCATTCCTCTGCCCCCTCATTCCCTACTCTCAGCTGCCCCCAGAAGGACAAGGACTCCCAAGTTAACCCAAACACAGAGAATTCTCATCCACACTGACCTGTATCATTGAGCTCTTTGTACACGTTCACCTCCTGAAGATCGATTGTAGGCGCAATGGGATAGAAGGTCTCCAGAACGTGTTCTTTGGTGGCCAGTATCTCCTCCTTGGAGGCTACTGGTGGTATTGGGGTCATACAGTTCATGAGTATTCCACTTAGGCCACGGACCTGAAGGAGGATGGATTCTGGGAAGGGAAATTAGGCTACAGTCAAACACTGGTGAAATAACATCAGGGAAAGATGTAAGTTTCCTTTTGCCAGTCTGTTCTGCAAGGCTCAATCTCCCCCTCACCTCCAAACCCATCTTAAATAGTAGCTCAGCTATAGGTTCTTCTTCTAAAATGCCAATGCTAATTGCTAGGGTTAAGTTCTTAACTAAACATCCTTTAAAAAAACAACAGCACTGACTTAGGACACAAGAAAATAAACAATCAAGCCTAAGACACTGGTTCCCTTCTCCCACCATCTCACCACCTAATAATCTCCTCATGGACAGCATCCTGCCACCATCCAAGGCTGCCCATGCCAACAGCATTATTTAAACCAGAAAGAATTACCTGGTTCCAGAAATTGTTTAATTTCATCCAAGTCCTCAGCCTTAAACCCAGGAGCTTTGCTATCCCTCTTATCTTACAGAGCTAAATGCTTCCACCACAGCAGCAACTGACCTCTTTCCCACGTTGCTGCTATCCTGCAGTTTCTAGCCAACATCCTTTTACTCAGAGAAGGATACTTCGCAGACAGTGACCGGCATACGTGTATCAAGTTTTCAAACAGCACCGGGCTGTAAAACAAGAAAAGAAACAGTTACATAAAAATGAGATCATAATAGCAGGCAAATGCTTCTGGGGCACAAATGCTGTAAAATGACTGTATGTACAACATATAATGGCATAACACTCCCAAACGGTTAACAGAGATTGCAGATTGGTATCACACACACCAGGCCTGTTTCAAGTTGGCAGAGGTAATGCTTACAATTATTTTTAAAATTGATACTCTGCACCAGCTAGAAGTAGATATTGAGTAGAAACAGAGACACTGGCCTGAAAGAAGCTTTGATCTAGCATAGTATTTATGTCAGTGCTACTGTCAATATTCAGAATTGGGTTTTATTTGTTGCTTTGGTTGTTGGGTTTTTTTTGTTTGACAGTCTGGTCTTGCACAGCAGACCTTCTTTCCACAGAAGAGCTGTGTATGAATTTTCTCTGTAGCGTTTAAAACCTCCCCTTCAGCTGAGGACTCACCAATATTTTTCCCTCCTGGGAGCAGCCTCTGCCGTGTCCCAGAGCCGTGCGTGGGACACCACATGTTTCGCCCTCTCCTCGAGCTCTTGCAGCCCAAGAGCCGGGTTATCCACAATGCCCTGCACGGCTGGGGGCAAACCTTCCACCAGCTTCGTCTTGGTGAGCCACTGCGCCTGCCGCACTCCTGGAAACACAACCCAAGGCGATCTGTCACAGGTGACAGTGGCGATCCCTTCCAACCCATCTAGACGTGACCGAGGCTGCCTGGCAGCTCATGGGGCCGGGCAGGCTCTTCACAGCCCGTGTTTTACACTCTGTGCGAGAACCTTTGGCAGGAGGAGAAGGGCGAGTGCTTGGGGAGGGGACAGCGCGGGGCGTGTGGTACCTTCCAGCATGCGGACACCCTGGTGGCAGATGTAGCACCCGCGCTCCTTGTACAGCGGCATCTCCTCGTAGCGCGGCCCCGGCGAGTGCCAGGGGTCGCGCCAGCCGCGCTCCCAGGGTGGGAAGCGCGGCCGGGCCAGGCCGGGCACGTAGTGCAGCCGTTCCGCGTACGTGACGGTGTCCAGCTCCACCTGCTCCCGCACCGGCCGCGGCTCCACCATCTCCGCCAGCACCTCGGGCGGCGGCCCGCGCACGGTCCAAGGCGTGCGTGGAAGCCCCCCGCGGTGGCGGGGCCGCCCCCCGCGGGTGATGATGCCGCGGGTGAGACCCCGCGCCCCCGCCGCCACTCCCGCCCGCCTCAGCGCCATCGGCCCCGCCACCATCGCCGCCATCCTCCTCCTCCTCCCGCCGCCGCCTCACCACCCGCCCGCCGCCATCTTGGCGCGGGCTCTCCCCCCACCGTCACCCCCGTGACTGACGGCGGCGGCGGCCAATGGCGGGCAGGCGCGCCCCGCGGTAAGGGAGGGTCGGCAAATTGCCTGGCGGGTGAGGACAGGCGCTGGGCTGGTGAGTGGGGAGGTGGGCGGAGAGAGGCACCTCCTCGCCTGTAGGGCGGGGGGGCACTTGAGAGACCGTCCCTGGGCGGGAGCCGGCGGGGCCAGTACTCGTGTCCCGGGGCTGGGGCCGCTCTGCCCCGGGCCGGCCCGGCTGAACCCCCGGGTGCGCGCAGTAAGTGCTCGGAACTCGTAAATCTGCACAGCCCCGAGCCCGGGCGTCTCGGACTCGCCCGCGGCCACGTCGGGTTACCCCCCGTTCATAGCCCGTGAGTGCTCCGGGCCCCAGGACAACGGGCGCGGTGGAAAGCCGGGCCAGTCGCCTTTGGTTCTCTCTTCCGTTCCCCGCCCCCCTCCTTAAAATAAGTGTGTTTCTGTTACAGGAGTGAAGGTTAGTTAATTAATTGACCTTGACAATAAAACTGCTGGAAGTGCTAAATGTTCGCTTCCTCCGCTTCGTCACCCGTGGTTCATAATTTCCTGTGGGCCGCTTTGTGTCCAAGGGATGCGGACACAAGTGCGCTGTGAGCAGCCTTAACTCAGCCCGTGTGTAAAAACAGCGGGGTCTGCAGCATGGTTCTGACCTGACCAGTGTTCAATGGGTACAACTCACTTGGAAACAAATCCCGTGCTTTTTGGCCTCCCCTAGCTGTGCGTCTGAATCCATCTATTCAAAGTCCATAGCCAAAGTTGTTGTTTCCCTGAGACTTTGCCCTCTTTGCCTCGAGTCTCTTGGCTCTGAACGCTGCTTTCAGCTCGCTGCCCTCCCCTGTTCTGAAGCTGCACAAAACTCAGGCCACATCTGGTGGCTGGGTTTGTCACCCATTGTCCTGGTGGCTGGCTTTGTTACCCTTTCTCCTGGACACAACAGCAGATTTTTAAGATGTTTCTGCTCCGGCTGACCAAGCGGCTCTTTTGTAGGAAATCACCCCGGCGGAACGAGCAGGATTAGAGGGTGAAGGTTTGGCTGGGCAGCCTGTCTGCGGAGGAGGGCCTGAGGCTGGGTGAGGCTCTGCTCTGGGCTGGTGGCTGCGAGGTCTGGCATTTGTGCAGAGGCACTGAGCAAAAATAGGGCGTTGCAAACCCAGATCAGCTCCAGGTTTTCAGTTTGACACACGTGCGAGATGCTCGAGAGACATTTTCTCAGTCATTCTGCAAAAACACCCAGCTGACAAGCACCCACTGCTTTTCATCGTGCTGGTTTGTGTTTTTTGCAGGCAATGAGTGACAGTGAGCAGGACTGGCTGGCTCTGAGGCCGCAGGAACCTTCTCCATCCCAGTGCTGCGGCAGCGGCTGCAAGCCCTGCATCTACGATGTGTACGAGAAGGAGCTCGCACAGTGGGAGAGAGCCAAAGCAATGCAAGACAAAAGCCTTCTCATGGGAAAAAAGGAGCAGGTCCATTTATCTTCATCGCATCCTGGAGCCTGTGCTTTGATCATACTTGTTCGGGTGCGGGGTTGTGATGGGTGAGGGATGCAGGGATAAATCCAAGCGGTGCCTTAAAAGAGGGCTGTGAATGCAATTCCCCAAACTCAGCCTTCACCCTCCCCCTTGGCCACTCTCCCTGCTGTAATGTGATTTTCCAAGTGTAGAGTTCTCCCTGGTGTCGCATTACAGCTCTGTCTCTGCAGCTTCTCCTCTCCCAGTTTCCTCGGAGAAGCTTTGTTTTCCTTACCTTTCTCATCCTTGCCTGATTTTTAGACTCATATTTTGATGCTGAGAAAAAGCTGTTGTGTGTGGTGGAGCAGTTGTCTTCAGAGTCTAATTTTTAAGCCTGTCAGTGCCCTTTTACATAAGATTAACTATGCTGGGTCAAGTAAAAAAGATCAGCTGAAACAACTGACAATAATTTCTGTTCACTGTGGCCATCAGCCGGCTGCAAAGTTGCCCCCAAAGCAGCGCTTGGCTCTTTTAGCAGAATTATTTCTGTTTGTTTCCAGACATGTGAAAATGATTGCAGTGAGTCATAATAGGATGACCTTGCTGTAAGGTGTAAAAAAATGTAATTTAAATAGGTGGTGGTGGGGAGAAATGCAAGATCCCAAAGTGCACGCTGCAGAACATGATAATGAATCAGCAGAGAGCTGGAATTTGTGCCGGGCCTTAGTGTTTAATTCACGTCCTGAGGATCTCTGGCACTAAATTAGCACGCACGTTTGCTTCCAGAGAAAAAATGAAATAATAAAAGACACCATCTAACCAAGTAATTATTTATTGTTGTTCTTGCAGAGCAGTAATTCAGAGCTGAATCCAGATACATTCACTGCATTCAGCGTGAGCTCGGTGGAGCAGCTGACAGAGGACACCTACCAGTACAAATTTGAATTACCAGGAAAGAGCAGCCTGCGATTGAGTTTAGGACAACATATCGTGTTAAGGTATTGTTCTCTGTGCTAGTTAAACAGTCTGCATTATGTAACCTAACACGTAGGGTTTTGTCAATAGACAAAGGCTTCATAGCAGGCAAATCATGATTTCTGTACCTCCACAATGACACAGATGAAAGAGCTCGTGAGCTCGCTGCCTCTACTAATTCTATGGTAGAAGCTGTAGTTTTCTTCAGCATTATCCCTGCGTTGGTGGCTCAGAAAGAACTAGGTGTGATTAAGAAAATACATTTGCAGAAAGCAAGATTTAAAATAATAGATGTTACAACAGATTATTTACTCTAGCGTGTTGGAATGAAGACAATGAGCTGCTCTTGCCCCAGAGCTCAGTGTTTTAGGCCCCGTATCTTGGGGTAATTCAGCACCCCAGTACCCAGGC